AAAATAATGTACTTTCTCTAAAAGCTGCCTTTACTGAAAATGAATGAGGAGGCATCAAGGACTTATGCGTCAGCACGTCTCCAGTTTTTATCTTTTGCTGTCATTGTTCCCTTTTTAACAATAACAATACCTCCTTATCTGATTCCTTTTTGCGACAACACCTTCTTATCTCATATATATTTATCTCCTCTTATATTTTTGTTTTTTTAATGTAATAACAGACATTTTTTAAGAATCCTGAGTGGAACTCTATTAGAGAATTCTGTAACACCAAACCTCCTACCTATCGTGTTGTTGCACTGACTCATAGCCGGTGTGTGCATTGTGTTAGCTGTGAGGTTAAATGCTTTGTAAACCTTAATTCTATGCCATATTCACCAAATATTTTGAGCTTTGTTTTAATAAAATTTGAATGGTCATTTTTGAAATGCAGGTTTTTTGTTGTTGTTTCGTCTTTGTTTTTGTCACAGAGACCATTAAAATTGCACTTCTGGCTCATTTAGGCCCCGTTTATACGTCGCAAAAACGGTGATATTTCAGTGGGTCTTTGGTTTACACATAAACAAAGCTACAAGTCACCGAAAACGTTCATATCTGAAAACTCCAGCCAAAGGGGAGAATTGGAAAAACTCCATCTTTACGTTTGCATGTAGACGGGAGGAGACAGAGTTTGACGTCACAGAATGCGACAATCAGCGTCGTATGTGTGCGACCATGTTTATAGTTTGGCTACATCCATATACTTGGATTGACAAGTTTCCCAGTCAATATTTTCAAGTATTTGACTTGTTTTGTCCTCTAACATCACATGTAGGAGCAGCTCCACTTCTCTGTCGGTCCAAACAAACGACCCTCGCGCCATTATCGTTAAAGCAACAAGAAGTTTTTGTTGTGTTATTTCCAGGATTCTGATTGGCTAGCCTGACTTTATGCTTCTCGTTACACTGCCCCCTACAGGTTTGGCTCATAGCAGCTCTTAACGACGTGTTTGTGCAGGTTAGGGTAAACGATCTGGTGTGAACAATGTTATTTCTGAAAATTAAGATCTGTTTTTATAAATACCCAGCTATATGTAAACGTGGCCTCAAGACTAGGCTCATTAGATATGAGCCTAGTCTTGGCCTGGGGTGCCAACTGAAAGACCTAGTCCAGAAGGAGTTTGGTAATACCTTATAAATTATATACTCCTATCTCATAGGTTTTGTATGATTTATTTATTTATTTGCTTTTTTTCCTTTCTTTTTCTAAGCACTTGTGCTGTGTACATCAACTTGACATGACTCAACAGTAAACACAGAAAGAAGCGACATTACGAGAACAATAATTATTTAAACATCTCACAGCAGAAAGGGCACCATTAAGTTTAAGTAGATGTAGATGGATTTATTGAGCGTAAATGTGCTTTGAGAGATGTTTTATGTTGTTTTCGCGGCGTCTAGGCTTGATGATGTAAAGGTACGGATGGGTTTGTTGAGTTCACATACGCGGTGGATATTTTGAATAGACTGTACCAGACTTGACTTTGGGTGGGTGTTCTGAGTGGGTTAGATTGTGTTGTGTAAGTTTAGTATCACTGCTGGAAGAGCTGTTGTGGGTTCAGGCGGATGTGAGGTCAGCGTAGGTGAGTTTGTGTTGAATGTCAGTGCTTTATGGGAAGATCTGAGGTTGATTCGCATCGATTGAAAAAAACAGTATAGGACCTTTTGTGTTGTTTTGTTGTGGACAGGTTTGGGTTGAGTTTGGGTCACGTATTATAACGCGTGTCAAATACACCGCTGTACTTTTCCTTTCTTTCTTTCTTTCTATCTGTCTCTTTTTTATGTCTCCCTGCAGCAAGAGGGAGTTGGCACACACCTGCCACAGGGTGTGTGTGTGTGTGTGTCTGCAAGTGCATGCATGTATCTCGCTGGCTTACCCTTTTCGCAGTGCAGATATCAGCTCATCAGCTCGAGTCTCAGTATTACCTTGAGAGAACACTCACCCTCCAAAAGACACAGAGTACTGTTAGCTCAACACATAATAGATGACCTTGGAGATTTCATTCAGCCAAAAGCTCCAAATGAAGACCAGTCTGACACACACACACACACACCCCACACTCTCCCTTGTGTCCTTTGCTGCAGCATGACCGTGCACTATAGTAGTAGCAGAGAAACTGAAACAGTCGGCATTGGTGTGAGTTTGTCTGTGTGTGTGTGACCGGTAACTACTAAATGTATTCACAGACACAAACTAGAAAACATGGGCGTAAGTGACTCAGTAGGAGTGTGTGTTGCCACGCTGACCTTCACTGTTTGTGTGTGCGTGTGCATGCGTGTATGTCCTCTAGTCAGTCTCATGAGAGCAAACTGAGTTATATCTGCAGCATCAATCCATCATGCTCATTAGCATATGATTTGGCTTTGATTAGCATATCTATTAATATGGAAATGCGACATCACCAACACTGAACCCAGGCGGGGCGGCCCTATAAACTTTCTCTCTCTCTCTCACACGCACACAGAAAAAGAGCAAGAGAGAGAAATAAATGCTCGACTTTCTCTCCAGGGATTGTTCGGGGGTTTGAGGTTCCGCTAAGCAGACATGATTGCGATGTAAATTTGCTGGAGTGCTGTGGCTGATGTTGTCTGTTAACATATTAGTATGTATGTCTCTGTTGTTCTGTGTGTGTGTGTGTGTAGAGTTGCCATGGTCCATATTATGTTAGTTAAACACCAGAGTTAGGACTTACAAATATAAGATCTAAGATGTCACCAAGATCACACCAATAACGGTACGGTACCTTTAATATACAGGTAATAAACTCATGGTGTAATATCAGCTTTCCAGTGGAGAAACAAGTCCACAGAGATAATGTTATCTATCCGTAGAACACATCATGGCATTACCAAAAGAGAAATATGTTTCACTCAGGTGCTTCGACAGCATTCCTGTAACAAGTGTCAGGGTTTCTGTGGAGGTGGAGGGCGCAGCAGATAGTTCAGGAACGCCAAGAAGCAGCGGAGTAAGGACAATTAACGAGCGCCGGGTTGCTTGTAATGACCGTGCAGATGAATAATTGGATGGTACGTGGAACATTTGACAATAAAACAACTTCACTGCCTCCCTGAACTGCTCCAAAGCTCCATAATTGTCAAGAACACTCAGTAATTGTTCAGCCGGTTTTCCAGCTATAGACAGGTTTCTCATTTAGAATCAAAGCTGTGCTCACAGCCGCAGAGCAGAAAACACATTGGCGCGATCAAATGAGCTTATATGTGGGATTTTTCATCATTTAGAAAATATTGCAACTTGCTGCTTAATTAAATTGGTATGGATCATCCGTCCCCGTGTCTCCACAACTATTTCTAAGCTGATAAACAAGTTTTGGCTCCCACTTGATAACGTGATACATGGAATTACACGGTAAGATGGCAGCCGGTAGCGATGACAGAAACGATTCCTGTTACATCAAGAAATGTCTTGTTACAGGTTGGAAGAAATGAGCTGATCCAGTCAGTGAGGCTCAAAAATTAAGACTACAGAGGTTGTTGTCAATAGGGTTTGCATTCACAGTCCATACACTATGAAATGCTCATAGAATTAGAAGTTTTACTTACGTATAACAGTGTCAAAGCAAGATTTATAAAAAGGAATCAGCTCCAAGAGAACCTGACACGTTATACTTTACATACCTCTCTTCTCTGATTTTTCTTTTTTGCATCAGCTGATTTATTTTCTCCAACTGTGTCACAGTTTAATTAACAACTGTTAATAATAAACCCCCTTTTCTCTAAAAGCAGCTAAAAGATGCAGGGTAAGTGTGAGATGTGCTACCTTGAGGGAGGTGTTTTTTCTTCTTCAGCAGCTTCTGGGGGGAAAAAAAAAATAAAACCATTCAGCACATTATTAAAACCCTGGACTGTGACCAGACTGTTAGATTCATACAGCTAATTATGTACTCTGTGCCAGAAGGAATGTTTACTTCTTAGATAGGATTTATTGGGTAATACTAAAAGTAAATACAAGATTGCAATCACCCAGTCCTGACATGCAATTAAAGTTGTTCAGGATAAAAGCACAATAAAGCTAATAGCTTATTTCCATTGTAGCGCCCCATAGAAAGAGGAAAATGACAGAGCTTCAAGTCAGCCACCCATTACTTCTGTGTTGTGCCGTCTGTTGAACAAATCCTCGTCGTCTCTCCATTTGCTCGCAGTTTTAGATTTCTGCTTCATTTTCTAAGACTAGATCTCAAGGTTCAGTCTTTTAGTAAATTAAGTATGAACCATTACAATTCAAGATTGCAATGATTTAGTTTGATTTCTTGTTTGTTTTTTTTTAAAGCGTCACGGAGCTGAGAGGAAATAGAAAAATAAAGTGTGTTTCTGTTTCTGTGTTCTTTGTCACTATACCATGGGTGTTTGGATCAAACTGGGATTTATCCATCTAGCCATCATCTATACACCGCTTAATCCTCACTCGGGTCGCGGGGGGCTGGAGCCGATCCCAGCCGACTCAGAGTGAAGGCAGGAGAACTGGGATTTAGTTGTGTATACGTTACTTATATAAGTATATAACACACTGTCATGTTTTAATGACAGATAAAGTTTTATACAATAGGTAACTAAAACATTTAATGTATTAGATTTTACCCCACACTCCACCAGAAAGCAGAAAAAGCAAAAGGAGAATTCTGGCACTGGAAGTGGATGCTCACATTTCGGTTGGTTATTTGAGTATCTGTGTGTTTGACAAAGAGATACAGTGAGATTGTTACACAGAGGGAGTCTCACCAGACCTGCTGTTGTAAGTGATGATTGTTATGCTGCTGGTTTGAAAAGCTGCCAAAAAGAACAAGCGAGGAAAGGCCACACAAATACACTCGTGTGTGTTGGAGATGTTATGTATGTGAAGCACTCACGTCTGAAATCCAACACCTGAACTAACTCTTCCTCCTCTCCTCTCCATTCCTCTCCTCTCCTCTCCTCTCCTCTCCTCTCCTCTCCTCTCCTCCTCAGTTAAACGAAACAGCCAAGCAGTTGATGGAGATCGACAAGCCTATGCCAGCCAACGCACCGGGTCCGAGCTCCGAGCCAGCCCCGTTGGACCCCTGCTCCCCGGGACCCTCCCCCAGTGCCTCCCCTTCCAATGGAAACGGCTCTGGCCATCGGAGAGGCGAAGGAAAGAAAAACGCCAAGAAGCGCCACTCGTTCAGCGCGCTGTCCGTCAGCCAGAGGGCCGCCCAGCTCAACAACAGACACAGCATGGAGATCTCCCACCCGGTCCTCATCAGCTCCTCTGACCCCAGAGCCGCTGCACGCATCCAGGTGAGTGCACACACTGTGATGGACAAACACACTGTGATGGACAAACACACTGTGATGGACAAACACACTGTGATGGACAAACACACTCTGGTTATTACACTCATTGTGCTTCAGAGGCGTATTATGTTGTTTGGTGGAAAGAAATCATATTTATACACAGGTACCCAAGTGCAAAGCTGTACTTAAATGCAATATATAAGAAAATGTGCTTAATTACTTTACATTTCTGGTATGTATATAGTAATCTGATTAATTGGGGTGTACATTAACTCAGGTCCTTCACTTCTGATATCTCGGTAATGATGTATTGACATATTTCGAACTTGTTTGCATACGTAGGACTGAGTAAAGACATTTAAGTGGGTTTTATTACCGTTTTTAAAACTTAACACGAAAAAAGAAAAACAACAATTTTTGGCCAAAGATTGCAGCCCAGCAGCTTCACTCAAAAATCATGATAATGGTTGTTTTAGTGTCACATTTAGTATCAGTATTGGATTTTTGTGTTGATACCAATATCAGTAGTTCAGAATCAAAAAGTTCAACGCTGTATTAACTAATAGCCTTTCTTCTTCTGAAAGAGTTGAGCCCAAAGTCAGCTATATTTATTTTTTTAATAAAGTCTTACAATGACAATAGAGTTTTTTTTTTTTAGATGAGCTTCTATGTCTTGATTACTTGGACATGTGCTTAACCAGAGTTCACGTCGGTCACAGATATTATCACCATATAGACAGTTTTGTGTCCATAAAATCATTCAAATCATTTTTTATATGTTAAAGATTTTGGTCATTTATAACCTTTAATTGACTGTGGAGAGTGACAGGAACTATGACTGAGAGACGAGAAGAGCGGCCATTAATTCAACCAGCCGGGAATCGAACCAGAGACGAGCTGCTCAGGGAATTTGCACCCACATGATATTTTTCCCTTACTGTTCCGTTATCAGGGCGCCCCATTATTCCTTGTTTTGACAGCTTTCTACAGCAGACGTGTTGCTTTTAGAATGATTGCCTGTGGTTGCTCTTATACCTTAGTTCAATATGTTGTTGCTGAATAATACCCAGGATGCATACTGAAAAGCTGAAAAGGCTGCAGGAATGTATTGCACATAATGATTTATTTTAAATGAAAACCACTCTTTCTGTCTATATACCTTCCTGTGTGTCCTCAGGATGCATCACCCCCGGGTCCCTCTCCCTCTTCGGCAGGGGTACTGGTGCCCCCTAAAGTGGCATCTATAACCTCTGAGCTGCTGGCCCACGCCAAGGTGCAGCTGCCACTCAACATGTGAGTACGCCTCAGTGCTGTCAGCTCACCCAACTGTGACCTTTCTTTCTTTTTCTCTTTTTTTTTGTCCCTCCTTCCACCTGTCCGTTCTGTTTATCAAGTGGATGTGTACCTGAGATCCAAGCGTGATTTCAGAACCCACCACCTGGCAGTGTTAAAAATATTTTCTCTGTTGTGCCCAAAGGTATTGGCCATGTTCCACCACCTCTGCAACCACATTTACTCCTCCACTGGTCAAGGATGAAATCCCCTTCAGAAAGGAAAAATACAGTTACACACTATTTCCTCAGTGGTGTGATGCTGGCGTCAGTGTTTCATAACAAGGCTTTGAGCAGCACAGGCATGGCCCCTACCATGCGTTTTACTGTACCGGTGTTTAGTGCTTCATAGAGATGGCCACTGGGAAACAAAAAAAAACTTGGTCAGTGTGCGAACAAGGAAAATTACACTCTATACGTGGGTATTAAAGCAATAGTAGGACTCAGTATGGATTCACAGGACAAAGTATGGATCCAACGGCTGCACTTGTAAGCTTTGCTATTGACTTGATCAGCTGATAGATTCGTGAGCGGATTCGGAGCCTAACAAGCGACCCGTCCCGCTCACGAAAATCAAACAAAATACTTGAGGAAATGCAAGTGCACAAGTCGCATCCAGATGGCTGCTGACATACTAGTGCTGACCAAGACCTTTCTATAATGCACCTCATAATTAATCCACCGGGTAACTGCCAGAACAATACGGCTATCCTCAAGGTGAAGCGTGTGTTTGCGCTCGCGTACCTCCAGCTTTGTGTGAACCAGTTTTTAAGCTTTGGACCTTGGGAGTGAGGATATTTTTGGAAAGCGAGGTCATCTGTTCAGTCCTCTGTGCTTCGTCCGAGGTTAGAATTAGGTTTGTAGATTAGGTAAGAGGCCAGGAAGTACATTATGCCAGCGGGGGTCCTCATGAGTATAGAAGCACAAACGTGGTGTCCTTCCTGCAGGATGTGAGTCAAACACAGCAACATTGTCGGGTTTAATATCGTCACCTTCCAAGTAGCGCTATAGGTGCACGCGCGCGCACACACACACACACACACACACACACACACACACACACACACTCTCACTCTCTCTCTCAAGACACACGTGCGTCCGGAGTGGATTTCTCCCGCTGATGAGGTCGGTCGTTCTCATCTTGACCTGGCAACTATTCCTGTTGCCATGAGGAGACGGGAGAAAGTCCCCCACATCTGTTACCATGGCAACGGGGGAGGCAGCACATATAGGGCTTGTTTACTCTGTGGTCTTATCGTCTTCCGTCGGAGTCTGGCTCTACGTGTCTCCCAGCATCAGGACCAAGAAACTCATTTATATGTTAACGCAGGTACCGCAGACAAAGCTCGACGTGGAGACGTCCACAGAAAGACGCTAAATGCGTCCATTCAGTTGTGAGCAGGTAGACAAGGAGGCATCAGTTTACAGCATCCTATACCATCAAAGAGAGGGGAAAAACAATCACTGAGTCAGCCTCTAGTGGTCAGAGAGAAAGGAGAAAATGAAATTGTTGGGGATTTTGTTAAAAAATAAATACTAGAATTTGGTGTGAATTAATAACAGTGTTTATTTTGTTTTTAATTTGTCAGTATTGCAGAAACCAAAGCCAATAATTCTGGCTGATATGGATACAGGTTTTGTGAGGTCTATCAAAATGGGACACTGGTAGGAGAATATTACCAGAGATCAGCATCCCCAAAGGCCTCTTTCTTTTCATTTAAGTAAAGGAGAATGTATGATCAGATAACTTACCTATGGAGTATATACAGAGAGAAACTTCAAAACTACATCTCAGAATTCTCTACAAGCTGTTATCAGAAGGTAAAATTATTCCATCCAGTTAAGTTGTTGTATTTTCAAAAATCTATTTGACATCCTGGTGTTGTTGTGCAGATTTTAAATGCTGCAGGAGACTACAGGAGTTACTCATACCTGGCAAGCACACATTTACAGTAACTATCTTATTCCTGCCCTCTCTTCCTCAAAGATAAGATAAACAGACACGAAACCTCCCAGGAAAATGGTATACGGTGGGAGGACAAGCCAGCACTGTTCATCTGTTTGACCTGACAAAGATCCCGTTGTAGATCAGAACGTTGATGGTCTAATAAAGGAGTTGCAGGAGCATCTGCAGTACGTGGGCTCCTATCCTTTGTTCCTCTGCATTGCAAAGTAAAAAAACCAAAAAATGAGATGTATAAAAAAAAATACTTTTCGCATAATGCTCAAGGCGTCCTTTTGTTAGAAGTGATAATTCTAGGTTTTTCTGACAGCTAAAAAAGGAAAGAGTCATGATTATTCTTCAGTTATTTTCTTGATACCACAAGAAAATACAATTCTCTTCGTCCTTTTTAACACACTGTCACAAGTGTCTTCGAGTTTTCTGAAGGCATTCATTTGATAGTGTTCGGTCTTTTCGCAGTTGTTCATTTAGCTTTGTTTTTGCTCGGCTCAGCGTGCAGTACAGTACATTAGGGGTAATCCACATGCATGCCTCCAGATGAAGATGCCCAGTGGGAGATAATCGGCATGTGGTGAACAGTTGCTCGATATTTCCTGCAGACTTAAATGTTTTTTATTATTTGACTCACTTTTTGCATTTTGTCTGTCGGCTTCAATTCCCCAGATACCTGGCTCTGTACGCCTACAAACCCCAGAAGGCTGACGAGCTGGAGCTTCGGAAAGGGGAGATGTATCGGGTGACAGAGAAGTGTCAAGACGGATGGTTCAAAGGCACCTCGCTGAGAACCGCTGCCTCTGGAGTCTTCCCAGGAAACTATGTCACCCCGGTGTCCAGGTCAGTGAGCTTGTGGATGGATGGGGAAGGCGGTGTTGTATTGATACTGTGTCATCGCTGCATCCACATGAAAGTAAGTCGCAGTCATATTAGGAGTGCAGCTTAAAGCGCACTTTCTCACTTCCTTGGCCCAAGATGGAAGAGTGACTGAATTGCTCGAGAAGCTGCAGTACAAGCACAGGGCACGCAGGTTTAATCTCTACAAAAGCCACCCGTCCTGCTCAGACTTTCCCTCCGTTTGTCACTCAGTTGATTTGGTTTGGTCAAATGTACCCAGCAGTGCAATACAGCCCGACTAAGGGCACTAATTTTGTCCTCACATATCGGCAATGCCAGCACGAGCACTACCACCACCATTGTAATTTACATCGTAATGTTCCGAGCCTCCGACAGACCCCGAATACAGAGCAGACTGAACAGTGCTATTTGCTAGGTATTACGGCATGTAATTGCACATGTGTTTCCGTGTGCCCAGACTGCTTCTTGTCACAAAGGCATGTCCAGAAAGCAATTTCTGGGGCTTTAGTTGGAAGAGGTGCACCCTGTGGACACTGTATTCCTCATGGTGGTAATATATTCTTCTCTCTTCAGCCTGTGCTGCACATTGTGGCCACCAAAACTACCAAAATGATTTGGTCACACCAGCAAATGTACCAGAAGCGTAGTCTGAGAAGTCGTTTTCCAGGAGGCTACTGCAAAAAAAGAACATAGAAAAATGTTTTGTTGTGTGTTTGAATACATCCTCAACATGTGTGAAATCAATTTATCCGTTTTAGTGTAAATATTAGCCTAAATTAAATGTAATAAAAAAGTACAAAGCGACATTCAAATGATGCTACTGGCAGTGTCATTCTAATGTTTGGCTACCACGTCCTCACTGTAGATCGTTATCATCGTCATCATCATCATCATCATCATCATAATTATCATCATTGTCGTTACACAACACTGTTACTCATAGCTGTTCAAAACAAATAAAACCCAAGAAAAAAAACATAGTGTGCTGAAATATTTGGCAATTTAATTACCCTCATTATTCCTGCACGCATGAAAACATTTGCAGTTCATCTAATCTGTATTCTGCCCCATGATGCAGTCAAGGAAAAGGAGAGAGAGAGAGAGAGAGAGAGAGAGAGAGAGAGGAGGAAAATGAAAGCAAAGCGGAATTACAATAATGGGAGAAGGCCGAGAAAAATATGAGGGAAGATGGAGGATGTGATGAGGTAATGTGAGATAAACAGAGAAAGAGTTTGAAAGAAAGAAAATTAGAGAAGAGAAAAGAAAAAAGAAAAGAAAACGTGAGGAGAGGCGAGAACTGTGTGTGGGGGGAAAATAAAAGAAATTAAATACAAGATAGCTGGAAGAGAAAATGACGCCGTGAGGAGGACGAAGAAGAAGCAAGAAAGCGAGAGAATGATACAAAGAGTTGAAACGACTGCAAAAACAGCAGGTGTCCTTCTCCAGTGGATATGAATGGCTGATTCACATTCTGCACTTATGCAATCGTAGGCAGAGAGAGAGAGAAAGAAAGGCAAGATGGGCGAATAATCAAATGAGAGGCAATTTGTTATTTTTACGCAAGCATACTCTCTCCTTCTCCCTCCATCCCTCCGTACCTCCCCTCCTCCTTTGTCTGCAGTGCAGCTCAGAAATTTCTCAATATGATAATCAGAGGCTGACAAAGATGCACGCACAGACCTGGACACGGACACACATGCGTGCACATTGTCGAGTAAGATCAATGCAGGTGGCCACGATTGGAATTCAATTTTTTTTTTTAACTGCAGTTTGAATATTTGCATATTTATCGTGGGATTTATTATCCTGTGTGATACCAACTGTATGTATGTGTGCGTGGCAATTTTATCTGATTCCAAGAATCCGTGAATGCATCCGAATTGTTGTTATCCTGGATTGTCTGGTTTTTAAAAATTTTTTACGAAATCTCTAAAGTTGCTGGAAGTGACCAAAAATATCTGCAGGATATCTGTTGAACACAACACACGCCGTAAACAATTGAAGTAGTGTATGTGTGATGTCCACAGAGAACCTTAAATCAAAGACACTGTGAATAACTTGTGTGTGTTGGTAGAAACACACACACACACACACACACACACACACACACAAGGCCATAACTCTGTATGTGTATGACAGGAAGTCGATGGGCAGCCATAAGAGTGTGAATACCGCTGCGTCAATAATGTTCAGCTCACTGTTCTGCCATTCAGCACTCTTCAGACAGAAACACGAGCAGCCTGCAGCTCCATATATGTTACAGCAGGACACTATGTCGTGCTGATGCACCGGTCAGATAGTAGGACTGATATTACTCACTTTGACAGAGTTTAATAGTCCTGTTTGCAGCTCCTGCTATTATGGACGAAACTACCGGCTGAACATTAGCATGTTGTACAAAGGAACGGCCTTGCTGTCGGTTCTCTGAGGCTCCACATGGACATGATCACAGTGACAATACGCTGATAAGAAGAGACGATCTTTACCATGTTCACCAACATGTCTAACATGTTCATGCTAAAAGCTGCTTATTGCCATTATACAGGTCATAAGCCACAAGACGTGGGCAAATGGCTGAAGCAGTTCATTTAAGTCCAACAGCCCAGTAAGAACACTGGCTAACATTACCTACAAGTTCTAATAATGCTTCACAGAGAACGTTTGGGGTAAATGTTCAAAAAACATTTTAATATCGGTCATTTCCAGTAATGTTCCTATGAGGTTAGAAGTCATCCAAGAAGAACCAACGTTAATGGAGTCCTCGGTGCCGGAACGTCATGTTCTAAAGATGTTCTGAGGACGTTGCTGAGGAACTGTCCTCTTATAAAACATGACCACAGTGTTTGACAATAAAGGGAGGATGTTCTCAGTGCAACATTCGGAAAACGTTTTAAAGATGCTAGTGCAGAACCGTCTGACACCATAGGTGGAACTCCTTCAAGCACTGGTAGAACTTTGCAGAACTTTTGTTTTTATAACAAATAAAGTCAGTCTGAGACTTTTGTTCATTCAGTGCAGAAAGTTCCAAGTCAGATCAACAGCAAGTGCAGCAAATCCAAGAATTAGAGAAGAAGATATACAATTATATAAAACTATTAAAGAAGATCACCAAGTTATTAAAAGTCAAAATGTCACGGCAACCGATCGTACAGTGTTCACTCAAACCCACAAATATGAACTGTATTGACACGCTAGAGGAAAAATCTCTGGATCACTAAAGATGTAAGGATTCATCTTTAGGGTTTCTGTTCCAAATTACATGGCAAACACATAGTTGTTGAAATATTTCAGTCCACAACGATGGACAGAGCTGCAGCCCTGCATGTGTGTGTATGGCAGGAAGACCAGTCGTTCCAAAGTAGTAAACCTGATGTTAACGTATGACCAGTGCTGACGAAAGCAAAAATCTATAAATATCATCTATAACCATTTGGTAAATTAAACGACAAATCAATATCGCTCTGCTCTCTCTTTTCTGAAGGGCTCCCTTTGGAGTTGGCGGCACTCGGGGCTCGTGTTTGTCCAGTCCAGTAGGAGGAAGTGGGTGCAGTCCGGTGGCGGGTAAAATCTCCGACCCGTCGTCCCCGGGGTCCCCGGGGCCCTCTTCGTCCCGTCCCTCCACCCCCCTGGTAAACAACTCTGTCAACAGCATCAGTCCCGCGTCCTCGCCGCAAACTGCCGCCGCCCAGCTAAAGAACTGCCTGCGCTCCAGCCAGCACACGGTGAACCAGGCACGCACCTCAATGCAGCTGGGTAAGCAGCAGCATGTGCACGCCAGCAGAAATACACATCAAGCATTTGTAAATCTGTACAATCACACTTGATTAGGGGTCGACCAATATGTTGTTTTTACTCATATACTCATATATACTAATCAAGGAGAATAGTAGTTTGAACTTCAGTTGCAACTAACAATAATTTTCTTAACAAATTGTGAAAGATGCTGATCAGTGTGTCCTAAAGCAAAAGATAACATTCCTAAATATCCTGTTAGCTGATATGCAAAGATAGGTTCTTGTCTAAAGGAATAAAACCAGAAAACATTCAAATTTTAAAAGCTGGAATCAGAGAAGTTAACTCCTTTTCTTAAGCAATCGCTCACACTGATTAATCAGTTATTAAAATAGCTGCCAAGCAGCTTTAACACACGAATCGATGAATCGTTGCAGCTCTATTTGGAACCGCTACGGTAAAAATCGTTGAGTCAGAATTTAGAAGGAAACAAACTCCAACACAAAACTTCTTATGTTGTATATTTATGTTTTCCATGTTTTCAATTAGAATAGCACATTACATTTATCCTTCAGCGTTGTCAGGCTGCTGCTCGTGTCACATAACTAACAGGGTGGTGCTGTGGGCGGGAGGTTGCTGGAGATCACAGAGTGTTGATGACAGATAGAGTAAGGCAGCTGGATCAGAGCTAAAGGAGCGCGTTTTTGGAGTCATTCATTTTAGCGGTAATTGGTGAAAAAAATAACATCAGTAAAACACTAAATATTGGATCCGATTATCAGCCACAGCGATAATCATTTGACCACTACATTTAAATCACTGAATCCTCAGGAGCATCAGTTTTGTTCCCGTCGTAACAGTTTCTCTGTGATCAGGATCTAACGAGATGTCACGGCTCCACTAGCAGGTAAAGGACCTGCATTCTTTTTGACACACAACAAAGACAGAGATGTGAACTTGGTGATTCATAAACTGAAGTGCACCTGTAAAAAAAAACACAACAAGCACCTGCTTTTCTGCTGCAGAATCAACCACATTAAAGCCTCCCACAGTGTCACCGTGTCACACTGATGTGGATCCTTCCTCGAAAGAAATGTTCAGCAGGTTAAAAGAAATTATATGGAGTCTGACTCCGGTGTTTTCTCTCAATCTCATGCTCTGCAACAAAACTGCTCGCCAGCCTGCAGCCTGCTTTAAAGGAGTAGGTTCCAGATCATGTGGGACCTTGCAGCATTTTAGACCCTTAGTGTCTGATTACAGCATAATGGAATATTGAGCAGTCATTAATTCAAGTAGCCGCCACACCATGGGCAGGTTTGCAATCGCCTCTTTAACCTCCAGCTTTTTCAATGCTCTTAAACAAGTGTAATAGTTACTGAAAACGAACAAATAAAAACATCAGAGCTATAAAAAAAAAAAAAAGTTGGATGAGCGCCCAAATAAATGGCCAGACTGAGATTTAGTTCATAGCGTCTCCACGTACACAACATGGCCGAAAGGTATGCAGACTCTTGAATATTAATATCTCACTGCGCTGACAGCTTCTGCACTGATGTTGCGATAAGGTCTGGCTCGCTTCATTCTGAACGTGTTGGAGGTCAGTATTATCCAATCAGGTTCCTGTGGAGAAAACTAATTCTGTGTCGGACCCGCTGTAACGCAGGAGAAAACCCAGACAGCTGGCTTGTTTTTGCTGTGAGGCAGACTGATAACCGGCGTGCACCGAAAGACTGTGATGCGTTTGTAAAATATGATGTCGACTAAATGCAGTGCTGCCCACAGATTTTGTTTGGAACATTTCAGAGGGAAGAGTTTCATGTTTAGATTTGCAAAAATGTGTTAGTCATAAAGTAGTACAAGACAAGTTAAACATAACGGGGGGAAAAAACATCAAAATATATAACTTTGATGCACAGAGATGAGGTTTTTTGGAGTTTAATCAAAACTCAAAAGGCAGTGACGGCTGTTGTCGGAGGTGTTAATCCTGTGAGACCTGATGTGAGCGTCTCGTACACATCCTCCACCTCGTTCTGTCCTCGCACGCCGCAGCACAAAGCTGCTGAATCAACTTTGTCGACACGTTGGGTTCAGAACGCTTGTACGGGAACATTCTGTAACTCCTTCAGACAATTAAGCACAATCGAACCGTTGCTACATGTGCTCCAACACACAAACGGCGCACACGACGCGAAGACGCTGCTAAAGAGCACTGTTTGTGCCACAAGCATCCTCACACACACACACACAATCCCCCAGAAACACACACACACACACACAATCCCCCCAGAAACACACACACACACACCTGCGTCTGTACAAGGTCTAGATCATATCAGCCTTGTTCTCTACTCAGAGTCTATTCATCTCTCCAACAAGCCTTTCTCTCTCTTCCTTTGTATCTTTTCTTCTTCCCCTTTGAGAAAATAATGGCCGAGGTTTCTTTTGGGAGGCTGAAGAGTACACACTGTGAGAGGACTGCCAAGAATAACACACATACAGACATGTGCACTCCCACGTACATGCATACACACACACACACACACACACACACAAGCGAACGCACACAAACACACACACAGCTGAATGACATCACCGTGCTTTTCGTTTTATGGAGGCGTAATGACAGAGCTTCTCCTTTCTCTCTCTCTCTCTCTCTCTGCACTTCTTTCCCCTTTTCTCTGTTTTTCTCTCCCCCTCTCATGCTCTCTCGCTCTCACACATATACACAAACGCACACACACATCTGGTCTCCATTACAAAATAAAGTATGTGCATAGTTCTGGCGTTTAGTGGTTTTATCACATGACCAGCACACCTCTCTGTGGATTTCTGCCTGAGTGCTGCAGTGGAGCAGAGCAGGTGGCTAGAAACCGTGCATGTGCATGTGTGTGTGCATGCGTGTGTGTGTGTCGTTGTGCAAGCGAGTTGTATGCACAGGCATTGCTGTATGTTTACGTGGGTGTGTGTTTTTGTGCACTCCTGCCCTCATGAAAGGCTCAGCAAAGTGCTCCAAACTCAGGACATCCAAGACCGTTTTTGGTTGGGGGGGAACTTTAGTTTAGAGTTAAGCTTCTCAGCGTTTGTTGGCTTGTTCCTGCCAGAGAATGTTTCCGTCGTCACTTGTAAATATTCCCTTTCATCAGTCGCTGGATAGAGAAATACCACCTTATGCTTGTGTGAACAGAAGCAGATCTCCCACTGTGTGAAAAGTGTTGGTCAAGCTCACTATTTGATATATTTTTACACACCGTGACTCAACTCGTAGACCTCCCAGAATGGCCTTATCTCTCCGTAGTGGGAGTCTTCCGACAGACTAAATATGTAAGTGATGTGAACTGACTACTCCTAAATTCACACAGTTATAAATAAGTAAGTAACTGTTCATCGACTCTTATCTATGTGATGGACTGGCCAGCTAACTTAAGTGCCTCTTTGCTTTCTGCCCAGCACAGGTGGCGCCCATAACATTACCGCATATTAGCCTTTACAACGTGTACAGCAGTGTTTCCCGTAATTGCATTTCCCAGTAAATCCAGAGATGCATTTCAATGATCTAAATGTGCCACAGCAGTTTGAAAGTGCACTTGTTTCTATCATGACTCTCACTGCGCATCGTTACTGAACACACATTACAGACAGACGATTATAAAAACCAATTCTCTCCTCAGATGTTAACTCAGAAGGTCACTGAGTCAAACTCAATGTCAGCAGAGTATTGACCCTCTCGGGCCTAATGCCGAGTGATGGCAGCGGTCGGTGTAAAAGCCCCCTCAGCTATACTAATCCACACGTGTATTTGTGTGTGTTTAAGTCCACAGTCCCCCTGCTGGAAGCCCAGAGCGCCCCACGGTGGCCATCTCTCCCCTGCGTCCTCAGAGCTCCTCCCCCTCGCGCTGCCCTGGCCAATCGGGTCGTCCTCTCTCCATGGTGTCTCCAGGACCCAGCTTAGGGCCCTCGCCCCTCTCCTCCCCTGCCTCGCGTCCCATCCTCCCCCTGTCCTCCCCTCTTTCTTGTCTCACTCCTCCGAACGTGTCAGCAGTGCTCCTCAACGGCGAGCCGGCCAGTCCACTGCAGCCTCCATCGCCGGGCCCCTCCCACGCTCCCACCCAGGGCGCCCTCGCACCCAAAGCAGAGAAGGTGAGGCTCATCCTCACCAATAATTGCACTTTTCAGCAAAGACTCAAACATGATGAGCTTGTTTTAACATTTGGCTTTTTGGTCAGACGTTTTCTCTAATGGAGTAATTGGCTGTCCTGCCAGGGCGATGCGACTTCTATTATGCTCTCCACATGTATAATCACAAAACATATTGCAGGAAATTTGGTCCCCCCAACCATGAAAATCATACCTCTTGATCGTAAAATAAGTCTTTGATTAGTGATTGCTGCTGCCTGTTGTAATATCTGAGGGGAGAACGTTCCATAAGGACCAACCTATAAAACAATATTAACCATATTACTACAGATAAACATAACAAAGCTGCAGATTTCAAAGGAACTCATTAAGAGCAGAGGATTCTCCAGGACTTCACTACAACTACAAAAACATGTATTTTCATTTTCTGCTGCTTTGTTTCTTGATCAATGTATTAATAATTCGGTCTAATGTAAGAAAGTAGTGAAAAATGTCCAATACAGCTCTCTAAAGCCTAAACTGACGTCTTCAAGCAGCTGATTTTGTCTGATCAACACTCCAGATCCTCCAAACTGTCGGCTTACTACCAGGAAAGACTCTTCTAACGATGAAACTTTAGATATTTTTGCTTGATTTAAACAACCAAAAGATTAATGATCAACCAAGTAGGTAATCTATCCAGATGAATCTATCACGCTCATTTTCTTAGAGGAGGGGATTTAAAATGTGTTTATAGGCTGCACCTCAAATCAACACAATCCCTCATTTCAGACCAACTATTGTAGCACAACTTGCCGCTACTACTTTTTTTTTCATTTCCTTGCTAATTGTCCCATAAATACTCATCTTTTATAGTATTTTAATTAACTTTAACACCCTGCCAGGTAAAGAAAAGGTGTTCTGTCTCCCACAGTTCACAGTTTATTGGGTGTGAAATCTATAGTGTGTAAGTCTGTATGCATCTGTGCATGTGATGTGCCAGTAGGCCTCCTCTACCTCAGTGAGTGTCATTCACCCAGGCAGCTGGTACAAATGCTGAATGCCATCCTATATGTTGCGAGAGCTGCAGCGCTAAAGCTGTGGATGTTAAAGCCGGCCACACTGACAGTGAAGGATGGCGCCGAATGCTCGCATCTGTCTCAGCTCCATTTGTTTCACTGTTGGCTCCGCTGTCTGGGACAGCTAATCTAACTACATGGCTAGCTGACAAACAGCTCATTGACTATAGAACAGCAGGCAGGGGCCTTGTTTACATCGTCAGATGCATAGCTGGCGTGGACTTTTATTTTTAAAAGCCCAGATTCAGGATTATATCACACACACTGAATATATTTCAGGAGGTTGGAACGAGGCCACCAATGTCATCCTGACATAAAAGAATGCTTCCTTCATATGACGACATGTACAAAATTAGCTTTTTGTTATTTTTATATCCAGTAACGATCATATAATTGGAGGGTTTGATATAATTTTTCTCAGCTGGTCTGTAACATTTTAAATGATGACTTGCCTTCTCCGGCCTGAATGAGCGGCTACTCCGCTCAGAACAACCTCACAATATGTATTTTTCTTTAATTGCAGCATCCATTTATGATCTAAATGCTGTTTCAAAAGCCTTGTGCCTTGAAAACCAGATTGCTTCGTGTTTTATGGCGAGGGAGGCTCTTTAGATCAAATTTCAAGATAGTGAGAATCTGCACAAAACCCAGGTATTGTTCCAAAACATCATGTTATCTGTTTGCTAAGTGTTCAGCCTAAGTCTCATTCACAGAGCAGATCTTCGTGGCTTCGAGCTTGGCAGAGCAGAAATATCAGGTCTGAAGTCGGGGTAGCAACGAGGCTGCACAGAGTCACACTTTGTTACAGAGAAAATGATGAAGCAGCCATGATAACTGTCTGGCAGACACAGTTTAGGGTAATCTCTGTTCAACACACTGTCACACTGTCTAGAGCGCAGCCAGCATTACAGACACATATCACGTTGGACACCGACATGCATTTGTAGACCGTTTCCAAGAAGTCTGCACTCTGGGGCAATTGCCAAGGAAAAGGCTGTCAGAAGTGCTTGCAGGATTTCAGCAGGTCGTGAAGAGTCTAAAAATGTCTTGAGACCTGGACTTTAGATAATATGGGCCTTACTTTCCACTGACACTTTAGCATGAGCTGCTTTCTTCTGTTCTGCAGTGCTTTGGCTGTGCATCTAACTCTAAAGCGATATTAAATTAATGCTGGCACTTGATCCTGAGACAGAGACTCTTTTTATAGACCAACAGCTGTGAGCAGGGAGAGCAAGTTCACCAAGCTAAATATGAAGTTGCTGTGATCCGTTCGATTAGCGCGTTTGAGACGTGGCGTGCGGGCTTCGTCCCATTCCGTCCTCAAATTTCCTTGGGTTTCTCTGTCGGTAAATTTACCTTACAAGCATTTCGACAGTGTTGTAGAGCGTGGGTGAGTAAAATGGCAGAGTAATTAGCTTTGTGGGTGGACAGAAAATGGCATCAGTGCATTACTCCCATCAACCCTGAGCAATCTTTACACCCTGCTGTCTGCTTTCAAAGGTGAAAGCTGCTCCATTCAGTGGCCCGACATCAACGGTGAATGGTTGCATGTCTGTTTGTGTTTGTGGTGTTTCTTACATTTGGAATGAAAGAAAACCTCACACACACACATACAAACACTCATACAGATGCAAGCATGTACATAATTTCTTTGCATAGCATGAAAAATCCCACTTAACTGTCGGATCCACAATCAGATTAAAACGTGAGTGTGTGCTGCTCCCTGGTGGATTATTCGGGAACGACACCAGCAGTTAGACACGCTCATGTAAACAGACACACACACACACACAGGCGAGCACACACACTCACAGGAGGCAGATTAAGCCTTTAAGCCTGCAGATGAAAGAAGAGAGGGCGTGATTATTCACTTTTTGTGCCATTTTCTATCCCACCTCCCTCCCTCTCTCTCTCTCTCTCCCTGCCTACACCCCTCTGTTCTCTCTCTCTCTTTCCACCCACACCTTCTTTTCCTTCTTCTTTATGTCCTCTCCTTTACTTCTCACCCTCCTCGAGCCCTCCCTCCATCCCCTTCATTTTCTCTGCATCTATTCATCTCTATTTACCTCTCCGCCTCATCCTCCCTCTCCCAAATTAGAATTCCGACAATCTGTGTTTGCATAACAGGAGGAAGATCTGTGTTGCCCAAACAGCGGGACGTTTTTAAGAGTGTATATTTCAGCGCCGCGCCAGAGTACAGCAACAGAAACAGATGTATATTATTCAGAGAGGGAGCAGTGACAGTTTCATGTTTAAAAAAAGAGACGGCGGAAAAAACGAGAGAAAGTAAGAAGTGCTATATTCTTGCGTGGGGAAATGCATATCTGTTCAGCGCTGCTTCTTGGAGCATAAGAGCAGAGGGTGCAGGTCGTTTTCTGTCATGGCTCTGCTGAGTCAAAGTGTTCATACAGCCTCTGTAAGTGCTTTGCTCAGCACTTTTTTTTTTCCTGTGCCATCCCACCTCTGCACTGAGCCGGATGATCAGGACTGTGAATCAAATCGCTTTCACTGTGGTTTGATTCTGATCAGTTATCGAGACTGTGTTTTATAGAGCTGGACCAGAACTTTATTTTTAGGGCCAATGCCGAGTTTAGCAAGTAAGAAAATCTTCTGAAATCTGCGATCTGTGATGCATACTCTGCTACATGTGCTGCAGGCAGTGCAAAGAGTTGGAAACAATGGTGTTAAAGCTGCTTTGCTGCACAAATAATGTGATGACACAATTTCCAAATTACCCCAAGAATCTTTTTCTGGATTATGTTCTGCAAAAGAAAGTTTTCGTCAACCAATACAGAAAACTTTGATGACATCTGCCTGACGATATTAGCCTAGTGTTTCGTGTTGGGGCAGAAACATTTCATTTCATTTTTGTGAAGATAGCAGCACGTTTGGTTGTTCAAAGTTGAATAATTGCATATATTTGGTGAAATGGGCGAATGACTCATTATTGATTAAGCTACTGATTGTCAACCGATCTATAAAATGCAAGATGTTCTGTCTGTAGCAGGTCATTTAGAGGAAATATTTCTCCCACAGTCCTGTGAACTCCCAGCAGACAGCAGCGTTAAAGCCTCTCTGTTTGAAACTGTTGAGGTACAGTTTGGTTAATAAGAAGACGTTCATTAAAGGAATAGGGGGTTTAATTTATGCCGACCAAACCAAACATAACTGAGCAGAGTGACTTTTTTAGAGCGACAGTTTTAGACTGAAACACTAACTTCTGGGATGAAGTCTGTGTCTAACGACCTCATAAGTTTGTTTGTTCATTTCTTTCAGATATTTTCATGTTAAGAATATATTTTTGATTTATTCTTCTGCACACTTCAGTACAGCTTTTAGCTCATTAGCTACACAATAGTTGAAATGAGTAAGAAAGCTTTCTCCAGTGTTGCATTCTGGGTTTTGCTTTGACAGATCATTACTTTGATCTTCCATATTTACTGACAGCTTCGACTTTTTAGAGCATCACGCAGCACAGGCAGATTTTTGCTTAAATCCTGATTCGGTAGTTGACAGTGCTATGGAGCCATCTGCAAAGGCTTGCAAATGTAGTGTGACAGCTGGCCAGACCTACCACAGGGGGCGGCGAGCAGTGCTGGGTAGCAGCAGGAAAATAAGCGATACAAAATACAGATAAACATATACATCCACGATTTTAGATGTATTGAAAAAGTGCAGTTTTCTGATGTGATTATATGTCAGGATAGGTGTTAGTTCAGTACGAGGCTGTGCAGTATTCAATGCATCAGTTCAGCTGGTGTAGAGGAAATAAAACGAAAAGGCCCTGAGCTCGTCTTATGATTAATACGAAGAAAATAAAGAAACTATTAACGATGTATTCCAGCTCGACTGTAGATGTGCTTCTTTCAGGGTCACAATTTTTACAATGTGACCAAGTGCGATTCACACCGAGAACAAGCCTTTGTGTGAATTACTGTGAAAACCGAGAGCTCACATGTGCAGAAACGAAAGCTAGAACCTGGGAAAGCTGTGAAAATTAACTTCGTTGCGGTGATTTAAAAGGTGCTGCACACATAATTAGATGGGCAACATGTGACACGGTGGATAGGCGATACTCCCAACGCCACAGTGTTGGGAGACGGTGCAGCCAAAGCAGGTGAATGTCTGAATAACAAAAAAAATAATACCAACGACTGTTTTCCAAATGTAGTTCATTGAAACCTTGCGCTGCCACTCGTGGACTATGATTTATTATTTAGTTGTGTGTTCCAAACATTGCAGCACAGGTTCACAGTGAATTATAACAGATTTGTTTTGGCATCATTTGCGTTCATGTGTAAAACTACCGGCTGGTTCATCCAGCAGCAGTTTGTTTAAAAGAAAAAAAGTAAAGAAAAGAAATGCTAGAGCTGAGAGCTAACATGAGGGATCTGTGTATCACCAAAAAAAAGTCATAATAATGCTCAGACATGCCCAATATTGATCCACGTTGGTATGATTGAGGGTGTAAAATCACAGCGAGCTGCAGTAGTTTGACTGCATGGACAAAACAGAATAATCACAAATGAACCTGGAATGGAAAAGCATGAATGTGGCTTTATGGAGGCCATTAGGAAACACTTTGTCTATAATCAATAGAGCAGATTCAGCTGCACATGTAACCAGCTTGAAGAATAGTTCTGTTCAGCTACCTGTCAGTTTGAACCGCATTGTGACACGCCCGGCATTTACACACTGAACATCGACTGGTTATAATTACTCACAACGCCGCTGCTGTTTCTCTGTCTGAGCTGTGAGTGAAGTGCAAGGTGCCGTTTTATAATTTGATGTGTCTTGCGGCCCCAGAACTACTTGTTCTCGCTCAGAGGAAATGCACCACATATATGGCATTATGGCTGCCATGTGAGGGAGGGTTCTGAAATCGTTAAAAAAAGACGAGCTGTCCTAATCCTAAGTGATTCAGTACAAAACCACTGATCTGTTTTTTTTTTTGTAGGTCTGAATGAAATCACAAATTAAGTAACATTAGCAACCAGCAGTGTGGATTGTTTTTGACCGAAATCCCCGAGAAACTAGCTGGTGTAGTTTTAGTTTTATTTATTTATAAAATTCTGTGACGGTATGCACAAATGCACAAAGTAATACACAAAATACACAGTTTAATTCCTTGCTCCCTTAAGAAGATTGATAGCCACGCTCAGGTCAGCACAAACCCTGGAAGCAGGAGGAAACTGCAAACCTGGCTCCAACAATTTTTTTATTTTTTACTTAAATTGCTTTTCAGCATCTCTAAAGCTCACTATCATTAACATATCAGGTCTTGATTGTTTATTTTACACATAAAAATGCAAAACAAAAGCAACAAATTGTGGTTTAACGGGAAGGCAGCTAATGTAATTGTAATTGTTTCATGGTGAACATATGAATGAGCCGTAGCTAACTGAGAAAGAGTAACAGACCAGAAAGCCTTTATGCTAAGCTACGCTAATCGCATTCAACTCCATCCTCAGTAGGGAGGAAGGGTTAAGGGGAAATATTTTATTGCGATTTTTCGGACAGATATTGCGATTTGATTTGGAATGTCTAGATATTTTATATTTAGCATGCTATGGAGCAGATGAGATATCAGAAGCATGACTGTCACACAAGGAGGATGGCAGTAAAAACAACTCACACAGCGTTTCAACCCTGGATCAGACATGCTGCTTAATGTATATTATAAAAGGCCGTCTTTGCCATTTGCTAATTGCTTTTTATGTATGCAATTTATGTATGAAATCGCCTAATTGTTCAGACATGATCTTCAGACGTCAGAGCCGTATCGATCTTCTCATCTGATTCAGCAAGTAAGCATTAAAGTGTTTTCATGTAAGATGAGGAAAATGCATCATTTTAAAGCAGCTGACGTCCCCTGTGTCCTTCCAACATAAGAAAGCAGCAGCAGCATAAAAACGACCTGTAACGTCTCCTGTCTCAGGCCAGAAGATTTCCGATACATCCTGCATTGTATAAAGAAAACAGCACAATTGTTTTACCATGTCTGTTCTGCTAAAGTAAACACACTCGACGTAGTGTTTGCACAGGCTTTGTGAAATCTATCGTTTTCTGGAAAAAGACGACCAACTGTTAGTTCATTTGTTCCCTTGTTCTCCCCTCCCTCTTTCTGTCTCATCCCTCCGTCCTCAGAAGGAGAGGAAAGCAGGAGGTCTCTTAAAGCTCTTGTCGGGGGCCGCAGCCAAGAAGAAACCCCGCTCGCCCCCGTCCTCCCCGCCCACCCACGACCCCTCATTGGCTGGCCAAGGCGCCGTGGCCACCGACCTCGCCCACCATCCTCACCACCATCACCACCACGCCCGCTCAGGTTCCTGTCCAATGGCGTCGCAGGGACGAGCCGGCTCCTGTCCAATCGAGAGCGAGATGGCGGGGGCGATGGGCCTGGAGCCTCTGCACAGGAAGTCCGGTTCCCTGGACACCAACTTCCCTATGTCGCCCCCGGCAACACGCGCTGGCAATGCTCTGATGGTCCTCAGGCCTGAACCCAAACCCCTGTCCAGAGAGAGGTGGGCACACACACACTCGCATGTCACACACTGCATAGATGTAGGAGGCAAATCAAATGTAGTTTTTTTATCTTGTGATTAAAAGGTTGCACACAGTCGTATGTGGGTATGCACACAATCACAGCAAATACTGCGACTGAAGCAACAGACTGCATGGGTGCATAAGCTCGAAACTTAAAACAATAGCCAATTATTTCTGACCAAATTGTACAATTTTAGGTTGGAGGATAAAATAATAAACATAACTGTCAACAACAGCATCAGCAGAGAATGAATGAAGACCAGCCGACCAACCAGAGACACTTTTACGAGCATTAAGCTGTTACTGCTGTGATCCCACCAAGAGCAAGACCAGGCTTTTCTTGAGGCGCGATCGCTTTTTAAGCATATAAACCACCATCCATGTCCTTGTTGTCGGTGCATCAGCTGGGATTTAAAAAATTGCACCTACAGTACAATATGTGAGCTTAAGTACCTTAGTGCTCACCAAGGGCAACGCTTAATACGACTGTGAAACATCATAGATTATTCTTTTATCCTTGACAGACACAACTTACACAGACCAGCAGCCTGGAAGACCTTAGTTCTGCTCTAACAAACACACACACACACACACACACTCTTTGTTGGCCCTCAGAGGAATGCTATAAAATCAGGCACGCTCTTATAGACTCTTCAGTTGTGTCACATGGAGGAGGAATGAAGCATATGTCAGCAGGATGCTGGTGCACTGAGAGCGCCGGTTATCACAGCAGACAGTGCACACAGCTCCTTCTGTTGTGTGCAAGAGAGAGAACAGCAGGGAGGGAAAACAACCTTGTCTTGGCAATGCTTTTGGTAAATGTCAAACCCTATGGGACAGTGGTGCTCCAAAACACCGACACAGTGGTTGTGATAGCATCTGATAATGCACTTACTGGCTTTTGAATAATACAACACAGAGCGGTGTTTAGAGCGTCGACTTGTTATGCTTCACTTTGCAGCTTTTCACCCAATTTATCAAAGCCAATTGGAAGTTGTCACACTCGGATTCAGTCAGACACGTTGTGCAGGAATAAATGTTCAATTTGGTTCTCAAGTGGTAAAAAAAAACTCTCTGCTAAAACAGTTTAATTTGTAAGGCGAGGGATAGCACAGTTTATACACAAAGGCGACTCGAAGTGATCTACATAATGCATTAAAATGAAAAATGAAATCAAATTAAGTGAATAGTAATTAATTAAAGATAGCATCAAACATTAAAATGCACATTAAAAGAATGGAGCCCTTTTAAATGTACGTTTAAATCAGAATTTAATTACAAGTATTGAGTAAAAGATCAGTCTTTAGTTTTAAAAGTGGCTCCAGTTTTTCACACGGCTGAGAATCCAGTCTGTAGTGAATTTAAACAATTTAGAGAACAGCCGCTCAGAATCAGAGAAACAAATACATTCAGCCATCAGACAGGTGAGAGTCAGGAGGTGGTTGAAGGTGTTGTGATGGCGTTAGCAAACCCGTTAGCCACAACATAATAAAAACATGGATCACCTCGTCACAGCAGCTCATGTGGGATACATTAGGCAGCGAGGAAACAATCACTTCTGAAGGTGTTCACGTGTTGGAAGCAGCAAAACTGAGCAAATGTAAATATCTGAGCGGCTGAATTGTGACGGTTTGATGACTGTGTCAGAGCATCTAAAAGAAAAAAGTGGTCCAAGGAGGGACAGCAGGGTCCCAGAGCCCACTGATGCATGCAGGGAGCAAAGAGCCCATGTGGTCCGATCCCACAGCAGAGCCACGTTAGCACAAATCGCTAAAAAAATACTTTAACGTCGGCCATGACTGAAGGGCGTCAAATCACACAGAGCGCCACAGCTTGCTGTGTTTGAACTGGACCGTGGAGCAGTGGAAGAAGGTGCTCTGATGAATCAAGTTCTGCTGAAGAGAAGATGTCAAGCAGTGTGACAGGGTTCTCCTGGGAAACCTTGACTCGTTTATTTGGATGTTGCTATGACGAGTACCGCCTACTGAACCATTGTTGTAGATCACACGCACGCCTTCATGGCAGCAGGATTCCCTCATGGCAGCATCGTGCCAGCCTGCTAATGTGGTTCAGGAGTAACTCCTCAGATCTCAGTCTGATTGAACTTCCGTGGGATGTGCTAGAAAAGTCCGACACTTGGAGGCCCCACCTCGCTGCGTGGACACCTTCAGGGGTCTGTTTTGGCAGCACGAGGGGGACCTACACTATATTAGGCAGGCGGTGTTGGGTGGAAGCCCCACAAGTACACAGCCTCTTATTAAAAACATAAAACATCAGATGCCTTTTAGCAACTCCTTCCTCTGTGGAAGGCTTTCTGGAAATTGCTAAATGAAGCGAGCGAGGTGGACACGTAACCACAAAATATAGCTCCTAGAATCCATTAAACATTTTGATGGATTCAAGAAAATCTCAGGGTTGAAGTTTCCTTTTATACCAAAACATCACACTGCTGAGAACACCGTCTAATTTGATTACTGTGACGAAAGCTTCACTGATACCGGCGCTGATTGAATTCTTTAAGGTGGGTCGCTCCAGCATGTGTCTCATACGCGTCTCTGTGCGGCAGGTATCGTGTGGTGGTGCCCTACCCGCCCCAGAGCGAGGCGGAGATCGAGCTGCGGGAAGGAGACGTGGTGTTCGTCCATAAGAAGAGGGAGGACGGCTGGTACAAAGGCACCCTGCAGAGGACGGGACAGACCGGCCTGTTTCCCGGCAGCTTCGTCGAGAGTTTCTGAACTGCAAAAAGTGAACAAACGAACACACACTGTTCCTGTTTCTGAGTCATACAGCACACACGTTGACAAGACACACACACATACACACAGGTTGGGCTGATATCGGATTTCCAGATTTAAATTATTGGATTAGATGTGAACACTGACCTAGAAAAAAATAAACCTGCCTTAATCTAATTTGTCTGGATTTAAGTGGAAAATTTTAACATCACACATCAAACTTTTAATAATTAAAGCAACACCGGAGTTTGAAATTAAAACACATTAAAGCTGTCACAAAGCATTAATAATGAAAACTTGGAAATCCGTATCAGTCCAACTAACTCAGACACACACACTGTCCAGGAAAGCGAGTCCCGGCTTCGACCAGCCCAGACACACGGAGCCGGGCAGCTTCCCCCAGAACCCGGCCAGCGTCGGGCTCCATCGGACTCGTCTCGCAGACCCGTGATGTTGACTACTGAAGGCACACAGACTCACAGAAGGACGAACCCTGCCTCCCCCGTTCTCCTCCTCCTCCTCCTCCTCCTCCTCGGCATCATCCACCAGCAAACACTAGCACAAGAAGCATTAGCTCTGCTTTTCCACTGAGACCTCAGAACTTGTATTCGGGTGCTTTCTACGTCCGAGAAGTGAAAATATTTCACGGCCAGGCGGCGAGGGAAGTGCGTGAGCCGACACTCCAGGATCATTGTAAGCACATCTCCGCGTCCAGCGTGTGACGAGCACATGTTTCTTTTCAACCCGATATATGTTAACGATGCATGTAGCATTCTCTCTCTTTTCTTTTTTTTTTATATGTTGAAATAGATGTTTGTGTTGTCATGCTGTGATGGTTCGTCACAGGGAGTTTAATATGAAATCAAATGGTGCAAATAGTCAGATATGAATTAGGTCATTTGGGTTTTTTTTCTATTTATATATCTGAGTAAATACAACTTTTTTTTAAATTTTACTTTTATTAAATTAGATTTTCATAGACCCCACAGCTGGATTAAACTGAATTAACTGGCTTGTTGAATGTAAAAAAAAAAAAAAAAAGGAGCAGTACGTTACACCAAAAGTCTTTTAAAGAATTAATTTGTATTTATAAAGTTGTTTTTGAACTTCTGTATGAGATTAGAAAAAAAGAAGAAGAAATGCACTTGTTAATATTTGATACAACCTGCCAGTATATCGACATATACAGTATTTTACACGTGTATTTACTTGACAAAAGGGATTTCCACTGCTGCTTGTCACATCCTTCTGTTATTAACATGAGTTTTCTTTAAGCAGGCACAAATTTCTTTGCTGGGACAAAAATGACTAAATCTTTATCCAGCCTTTTTTAGTCTGACAAACGAACAGATAAAAAAAAAAAGTTTCCAATGTGGGCGCTCCTCGGAAATTCCCTACTTGAAATACAATGAGTTCTGTCACAAAGATTGCTAACAGTAATTCCTCTTGCTAAGCCTTTTTCTTGAGATACAGTCGATAGTTTTTTTTTTTGTCTGACTGCAGCAATACTGCGAAGCCAAACGGATTCGAAGAATGTACGATCGAGGCGGGGAAGCGCCTGTGAGTCAGAGCGCAGGGACGCAATCCATCGTACAACTGCCAGCCTTTGACCTTTTCGTCCGATTCTTACCGACCTTTAACGAGTATTTTTGTACCGCTTCAGTGAGCGTGTAGTCAGTCTGCTTCTGTGAATTTTTAACGTCCTGAATGTGGATCCGGGCCCGTCGTCTAGTTTACATCCTGCCACAACCATCTACCTTGTTTCCCTGTTGGTGGAGAGAGAAGCACAGCGACGCTCAGACCTCGAGGCCGCACGAGGACGTCAGACAGCGAGAGGTCAGCAGTGACAAGAGCACAGTTACAGGGCATGAGCGACTGTCCTCACCTGCTTTTTTTTGTTTGTTCTTTTTGTTTTAAACTGGGCCAAAAATGAAGCACAACAGCTCGTTCATTTACGGAGCACACAAACGTCTAATTGGCTCTAACTTGATGGTAAACAAGGAGTCTGTTGTTGGTGAAGCACTGTTGAGTCACATCGGGAAGACAATAAACACAAACAGACGGAGAACACTTTGGTCCACGCGGACTGAAAATGGCACAAAACAACTTCTTTTGTTTATTTGTTTGTTTGTTTTTGGCATTTTATCAATGAAAGCTTCCCAGAGTCGACCGAACTCTAGAGGACAAAAAAACACACAGTTTAGAAACTTAAGTCGGGTTTTTTTTTCTCCCAAATGATCCGACTGAAGAATAAACACCCGGGTATGAGGGAGACCTTCCAACCAGATCTCCACAGATTTGCAGAAAACAAGACAGGAGCACAGATGATAAATCAGAAGTGTGGCTTTTTATTAACTTCTTTTCCCCCTCGATTAGCTCTCACACTTTGATATATGAGTATATTCTCAGCATAGTAAAGAAAAAGGAGACAAGCAGGCCTGAGATTTAAAATGCAAGCGTGATTTATCACCGTGTTCACGCTGGACTCTGAAGTGAAGGTGACCTGTCATGATGCTGTAATCATCTCCTGACCGGTGGCGGTGCACTATGGGTAATCCTGGAGCGACAGATAAACCAAAAAACAAAACACTCGATCACAAGCGTCACACGAGCTTGAGTTAGAAGTTTTTCATTTTGTATGGAGCAGCCAGCGTGACTCTTTACACGTTAAACTATTTGATCTTATTTTATATACCAGACTACGATATTTGTATGAGTTTCAACGAGGTGTGTTTCGATTCCGTCGATTCAAAGTGCCAGTTTGTTTTCCTTGAACATAACAAACAGGAAATGTCAAATTTTGGATATTAGTTATTGGAAACTTCGATCTGAACATCTATCCACTGGCCTTCAAACCCTGTCAGTCAAACCCTAGTGCCTACAAATGTCAGCACACACACACACACACAAATACACACTCCTACTAGTTACTCTATAGGCCAGACCTCTCTCCCACTTTTCTTTGTACGCGTATGAGCACGATGGTTGTTTTTCAATCAGATCGAGCTCGACGACAAAAAAACCAGCAGACCCCAGAGGAGCTCGGCGCAAACCCCGAGCAGAGTTTTTACGTTTGCGAGGACTCTAATTTCTATCGAGTGAAACTTAAGCACAAGTCCTCGTTTGTGTTCGACAGATCAAACGCGCCTCCACGGTGTTCTTTTTTTTTCACGGCGAGGAGAACGAGTTTACAACAGTCAAAACACGTCAGGAATAAAAAAAAAAACCACTGCACGGTGGTCACTTTACATGAAGCTAACTTGAACCGCCGGTTTCTCCGATGTTCTCATGTGTTTTAATTACGTGATGTGAGCTTGTCGTTTGCTCTCAGCTTCCTGGTTGTAAATACCACTTCATTCAGACGGCTTGAAAAATGTGAACAAGCGGCCAACAGCTGCGCTAATTCCCACTGGACTTGAACGCAACATAAAACAAAAATGATCAAATTATCCCACAAACTTTTTTTTATTTTTTTGTCATCCTTCCAGGAAGCCTGAGCTCTCACCCTGCCATCTTGAATTAGATGTCGGTCATATTTGTTCCTATGGATACTTGGGTGTTTGTGTGTGTGTGTGAGAGGGCGGGAGGAGGCCTCTGTATGTAGCTCCTAACACAGAAAAGAAACTTTATGGAAAGAGCTCGGTGCAGCATGGGCGCTCATGCCTCATCGGGGACTGAGTCGGGATGAAAACGGTGGTACAGTGAGAGAAACAGAGAAGAAGAAGAAAAAAAAAGTATATATATAATTCTATATTGTGCAGAATATTTATAGGCCTTTTGTGCCATTGAAGTCATGCTCTGTGCTGGCCACGCCCAGCGCTCTCTACCATGTGATCATTATGCATCGTCTTGTACTGATGACCCGTGGTTGATTTGATTGTTTTTTCATGTCAAGTGCATTTTTCGCAATAAATGCCTTTGTTTTAAAACAGACTTTCAGCATCTTCTTGCCTGCAGCTTTGTAATGGATGGATAATGAAACCGGGATACATAACAAACACATTACCTGTATAGCCCATTAGGATTCCACAGCTGCCCCTCGGAGGATTCATCCACAGAATCATATTATATCTCGCGCTAATTATAATTATCCTCACCCACAATGTGCTCGTTAGGAGCTTATGAAGCCTTAAGAACAACACTCCAGGTACAGTTATCTGACAGAGGATTCCTGTCTTTATCTTCACAGACACGTTGGTGAGGGATGTTTAGAAATTAAGCTGACATTCTGCCCCTCTTTTCATCCCCCCCTCCTCCATCTTCTCCTCTTCACCTCATTTCCCACCGCTCCATCTTCCTCCTTTCTTATCGGCCTCCTTCTCCCTGGCGTTCTCCAGCCAACACTGGCTACGGACGAGGTGTGTAATTGGTAATTTCAGAGCGTCGCCGGCACTCCCCTTAAATGACAACCTCATCTCTCCGGGAGTCGAGCCTGTCTCCAATGATCACCTCCATTTGCATTTAGAGTGACGAGGGAGAGGTGGCCGGCCTTGTGTGTCTGCGAGGGGATGTGTGCAGGTGTATGACAGCGATCTTGGATGTAAGCCCACTCAGGGAAACTTGACTCTAACACTCAAACTGCTATATTTAAGGTGAGCAGGGCGCAAGCAGCAAATTTAGATTTTTTAGATTTCTGCAGTTCAGCGATAGCGCTCCCCCTCCTTCTGCCTTGGAAACTGGGTGAAATCACTTCCCGGCCAGGAGCTCAACCACCCAGAGAGCAGCTGAAGGCGTCTGTAAACACACACACACACGTTCTTCACAATTTGCCTTGGTGAAATGGTTCTCCTCTGGGTGTCCTCTTCCCAGCCTATTATACCAGCGAGGTGCTGCAGGCCCCTGCAGGGAATCGATCAGCATTCCTCCGCTTTACGCCAGACCCGTCTGTCCACCTGTCTGCCTGCCTCTGGAGTCACATGAAGGGCAACAGAGCTGGAGGGTGAGACACTGCAGGGAGCGAGGCCTCGGCCGGGCAGCGCGGGGCGGCCCCTTCACGATACAGCGAGCGTGGGGCAGGAAAGATGTTAAGCTCCTGCTGCCTTCCAAACCTTTCCCTAAAGCAAAGAGGAAAGCTTGTGATCAGCCTCTATCCGCTTACCTTGTGACAAAAAGCAGGAAGAAACATCACCGACGTTTCTTTTAACGTGAGTCACAGAGCTCAGGGGGAATTAAGTCCGTAAGTCTGTCAGTTTTTACAGTAATCAGCCTGTTGTTAGAAATTTTTTCTCTGATGATTTGGTGCATCGTTAGAAACAAAAAAGTAGGATCAGAATTCAGGATGTCTCAGATGTCGCTCAGTTTTCATAAATGTGTTCATTGAGGCCACAGACTGCATAACATAAAACATGTTGGCTGAATTTTAAGAATTCACACCTGAAAAAAAAGTCTGTTAAAACAACAAAGCTGGGAAACTACGGTGAGGGTTCAACATCTCCAGAAGAAAAAATCTGGAGATTTGATGAGGACACAGACAGAATTCTATCCAGCATATTAAAACGATCGGATGGCTCCAGCAGAGGCCAAATTATGAATTTATGTTCCTGCAGAACGGAACAACGTGCAAAATGTATGTTTTTAGTAATAAATAGGTAAAATCTGAGGCAGTATCTAAAGAGACACAGACAGTTAACAGCAAATGAATGCTCCGAAATATGTTTTGCTCTTCATCAGCTATAAGTTTTACTAAAAATGAAGCAACACTCACTTCGATTATTTATTTTAAAAACATTTTTAAAAATGTGGACTCAACATGTACAGGATTTATTTACACTAAGTGCCC